TTGGTACAGGGACCTTCCAGTTTCCGGATCCACAGGGGAACCGACTAATCCGGAATCGAGCCGGGTAGGACCATAAGGGTGGCAAAGCTCTTCCTCAAGAGTTTTAACACTGCTGCATTCTCAGTGCTCGAACACGAGACCACTGGTTAAGTTGGAAGAGATTCAAGTCATCTCATCCAAACGCTCTTGGGTGACTTTCATTGTTATTGATTTGAATTGGTGCACTCATAATAAAGTCATAATTGTCGAGTCTTATATACTTCGTAATTTAATATTATGAGATTGTGTAATTTTCATTCTTATCTATTTTTCAATATTATTTAATATATATATATATATATATATATATATATATATATATTATCTCTAAGTGAGAATTTTATCATATTTTAGTTGTCTCATAAGGTGACGCAATATAATGTCGGATTTCACTCCATAATCTTAAAATGTGTAAAGTCAATTTAAAAATTAATAGCCTAAAACCAAAATCAAGGTGCTATTAACAAAGCCATAATACTATTAGATCATGCAAGCTCAATAATATAAACAAATAAATAACAATTTTATAAGATATTAAGATAAACACTAACAATTAGATCATAATATAGTTATATATATATATATATATATATATATATATATAGAAAAATATGCATACTATATTTAATTTAATTTAAAAGACAACATAGATAAAAAGCACGATTTGATAAAATATGTAAACATCTACCTAATATAATAAATAGACCTTTTAATTGTTATGCTTACGATTTTCTCACAAGGTAAAAGAAATCATATGTAATATAAGATAGATTTATTTATTTATGTCATATCATATTGTATAGTATCATCTCACAGTATATTTCTTGCTGCAGCTATTATTCTCAACAGAAAAACAAGCTATAGTTAATATTAAAAAACTATTAGAACCGAGAGTAGAGAGTGTGGTCCCATCATGTGAATCGCACCATATGAAGGTGAACCTAGATGAACTTTAGTGATGTTTCATTCCAAAACAATTGGTGATAAGAAGATAGTCTAAGCTCACTATGATACCATATTAAAATCGGGAGAAAAAAGTGCGATCACCATGTGGCATTGCCATTTGAATCTAAGCTCTCCTCATTTCATTCACTTATCAGCTGTTGTCAGTGCCACTTAGGGCTGCGGCTTTTTCTTTTTTCTTTTTTATTTATTTTTTTCCGGGTTTGCTATTAAAGTTGCTTTCTTGTTTATTGTATCTTTTGATTTTCCGCGTGAAAAAAAAACGTGGTTGTTTTAGTTTCCTCTTATGCATTGATGCCGTTTATTTTCCCCATCAACATTCCTTTCATTTATTTTGATGAAATCTGAACAACCCATTTTGGGTTCTTGATAAACCCATTGCCCTGCGTTTACCGTTCACTCACTTTCTTTTCTGAACTTAATTAAGTTCTGGGTTCTTTGAAATTGTTGTTTTCTATGGGTTTTTCAAGCTCTTGAGTGTGTGTGAGCGCGTGTGTGAGTTCGTGCTGGTAAAGTGTTGCAAGAAAAAATGAACCCATTTGGTTCTTTTGAAGTTCTTGTGCTCTGTTTAGGATTCTTTCTCGTTGGCTGCTCAGCATTTCCAAAAAATGAAGGCAAGTTTTTAGGGCAAATGCTCAATGTTGATTCCACAGATCTTGATTCTTGATCGAGTTCACATTTTTTTTTTTTTTTTTTTAGAATTTATGTTTGCTGCGTGATTGTTAATTGTTAATATTTGCATCTAATTGGCCTAATTCAAGATCTTGGATTCATTTTCTCATAGCTAATTGTTGAGTGAATGCTATTAAGTTAGAGTGTAGATATAGTCGAATTGCCGTGAAGGTTTGAAGGGAATAGTTAATCTGATTCTGACAATAGAATTCCATCTTCTGTTCAGTTGATGGTTTAATTTCTTTCAAGAGAGCTATTATCGAGGACCCTTCACTGGCTTTGTCCAATTGGAGCACTCTAGATTCAAATCCGTGCCAATGGTACGGCGTTTCTTGTTCCACGGCTGGTGATCATGTTCTAGAGCTGTAAGATTTTTCTGTTGATGTTAATATGACAGAAATACGACATAAAATTTGTTAATTTCATCGAACGATAATTTTGGCCATGATAGCTTGTGTTGTTAGTGCTGAACTATGATTTATCTTTTGATGGTGATGCTACATGGATCTGCAGAAATATTTCAGGGAAATCTTTAAGGGGTTTTATCTCGCCAGAGTTGAAGAAGCTGTCAGGTTTACAACAATTGTAAGCTTTTGCTCAACTGAACAGATACAAAATTATATGTAGCAATTATGATCTTATTAGTCTGGGCTGAGTGTATTATGTGGTTGATGACCAGAGTTTTGCATGGGAATCTGTTGATGGGCTCCATACCTAGTGAGATTGGCGTATTGAAGAACCTCAAGGTTCTCGATTTGGGATCAAACCGGCTAACCGGGAAAATTCCACCTGAGATTGGGAACTTAAGCAGCATCCTGAAAATGTTAGGGGAAAATGAGTTTAATATCAAAGAAAATAATTTTCTGTTGCTTTTCTGTTCCTTCCTCTCATGGTTGTGTTTTTGTTTTGTTCCATTTTTTCAGAAATCTTGAATCCAATGGGTTGAGTGGCAAGTTACCTTATGAGCTTGGTAAATTGAAATACCTTGAGGAGCTTCGATTGGATAGGAATAGGTTTATGGGAACAGTGCCTGCTCGTAATGACTCGGATAAAGTCTATCCTTTCAGTTCTTTTGGAACGTGAGTCGATAAGTAACTTCACGTGACTTTAATTTTCTGAATAGTGGAGAAATTAAAAATGCTGTCTTCTTTGGCAGCACTATGTCTGAATCATGACAATTTGTCTCGTTTATGTAGCAAGTTGATTCTAATAGTTGATCGTGTATTGTTTTGATTAGTTTCTGAATATCTTACTATATTATACGCTCAATTTGTGTTATTTTTCTATGAGATGATCGTGCAATTTCTTTCAAATAACTCGTAACTCAGTTTGCTTCTTTCTAAAACTACATTAGGTTTGCTTCAAATGGAATTACTATGGGATTTTGTCGATTCTCTCGACTAAAAGTAGCTGACTTCTCATACAATTTCTTGGTTGGAAGCATACACAAGTGCTTGGCATATCTTCCGAGGTACTTTTGTGTTATCTCGATTTTCTTTCCCTTTCTATGCTTTTCTACATTTCTAATATACTTTGTATTTGTTGCACTTAATATTCATTTTCGGTATAGATCAAGTTTTCAGGGTAATTGTCTTCAAGTCAAAGATATCAAGCAACGTTCAATTGCACAATGTGGTAGGCTAGCTACCCTGCTTATACCTACAACTTAGAATATTTTTTCGTTAATGTTTTGAAAACCAATATATATATATATATTATATTTATATATATAAATTTTCTGCAGTTGCTTTTATTTCGGGTGGTCCTCCCCCCACAAATGCCCATGCAGAAGTGATGTCAAAGCCATTGCCGACTAAGGAGGAACCAAAGCATAACGTTCATTCGTCTAAGCCCGCATGGCTGTTGGCCCTTGAAATCGTGACTGGAATTATGGTGGGCTTAATATTCGTCATTGCTCTCTTTACAGCCGCTCGAAAGTTTAAGAAGAAACCTTCGGACATCATCGGGTGGAAGAAGTCCTCGAGTTCTAAGGACAACTTGACGATTTACATAGGTTCATCTTGTAATCTTGGACTTGTGTTCTGCTTTTTAGCTTCTGCCTATGTTCGTAATAAAGGCTGAAAACAAATATTAAATTGCTAGTGAAATTTATGCAGATTCTGAAATACTTAAGGATGTGACGAGATACAGCAGAGAAGAACTCGAAGTAGCGTGTGAAGATTTCAGCAATATCATTGGATCCTCCCCCGACAGCATCGTCTATAAAGGCACAATAAAAAGTGGGCCCGAAATTGCGGTTATATCTCTTTGCTTGAAAGACGAGCAGTGGAATGGCTACCTCGAGCTTTATTTTCAAAAAGAGGTAAACTCGTTTTTGTCGATCTTAATGTTTTTTTTTTTTTTGTTTTCCTTTTAGGTGCATGAAATATTCTAATTGTGCATCCTTAGGTTGCGGGATTGGCAAGACTGAATCAAGATAATGTGGGGAAGTTGCTCGGGTATTGCAGAGAGACCAGCCCGTTTACTAGGATGCTAGTGTTCGAGTACGCATCAAACGGGACACTCCACGAGCACCTTCATTGTAAGTTTGATTTTCTCTTTATGCATATTTATTATTTAGTCCTTTGTTACTTTATTTTCCATTAACCGAATAATGTAGTTGTAATAATAAACTTTCAAAAAAAAAAAAAAAAAACTGAAAAAAAAAACAGATGGCGAAGCGTGCCAATTCTCTTGGACACGGCGCATGAAGATTATTGTTGGGATTGCCAGGGGTTTAAAATATCTTCACACAGAGCTCGACCCGCCATTTACTATATCCGAGCTGAACTCAAGCTCGATTTATCTTACTGATGATTTTTCTCCTAAGGTGAGATAATATCACTTGACATAAACGTTAAAATTTATAATTGGTCGACTGACTCTGCTATAACTTTCGACATTCCTTATCAGCTGCTCGACTTTGAATGCTGGAAAACGATCCTTTCAAGATCAGAAAAGAGCTCGGGTGCCTTAAGCAATGAAGGCTCGGTTTGCATCATCCCGAATTCTCTAGAAGAACGTAATATTGATATCCAAAGCAACACTTACGCATTCGGTATTCTTCTACTCGAAATCATCAGTGGCAGACTTCCATACAGCCAGGATAAAGAGTGCTTGGTCGATTGGGTCCGTACATTACGAAATTAATTATCACTAGTTTTTTTTTTTTCAAAACTCTTTGTTCTAAAATAATGAAAAAAAAACAATGACATTCTTTTTGCAGGCTAAGGAGTACTTGGAGTTGCCGGAAGTGATGTCGTACGTGGTGGATCCCGAGCTGAAACACTTCAGTTACGAGGATCTGAAGGTGATATGTAAGGTAGTGATCCTATGCATTTATCCCCACACGAGCACACGGGCATCCATGCGGGACTTGTGCGCGATGTTGGAAAGCAGCATTGACACGTCAGTGTCTGCGGATATCAAGGCATCCTCGCTGGCTTGGGCTGAGCTGGCGCTTTCATCTTAAGGTGACTCTGTAAATGAGAAACTATAAGAAGCTAGCAAGCGGGACATTTTTGTTTTTTTCTATAGGTATATGAGCTATTGTAAATACTGCGTTTGCTGTGAGAAACACGGGCCGTTGCTTGTCGTTCGATCTCACGATTCTTTGTACATGATGCTGCCTTTTACAAGGTGCTGTGATCAAGTGGTAAAAGAACTGTTTCTTGATTCACTGTTTTTGGTTTGTTAATCTTTGTGTGTGTTTGTGTGTTTGTTTTGCCTGGATTTTAGCTGAATTTTTTACAATTATATATGGAAAATGTTACGGTCTCGTTACGGCACTATCCCATCGTGTGTTTTAACCATTGGATCATCTATCTTATCTAACCACATGTGGATCCAACGGTTAAAACACCCGACGGAATGGTACCGTAACAGTACTGTAGCATATCCCCTTGTCATATTAGTAATTAGTGAAGTAATTTGTACAGCTGACATCATGAAATCTAGGTAGATATTCGATTTTACGGGTAAGGACAGTCTTTTACCACGAGTGTGTTAATCCGAACGGTAAAAAGAAATAAATAAATAAATAAATAAATAAATAAATGAAATATCTGATAAAGGCAAATTTAGGACCCTCAACTTATTCAAAAGTGCAAGTCCCAAAAGTCCTAACAGAACTTATCCAATTTACATAGCTTGAACAATAACCTATGAAAGCACATGCCACCATAAATGAAGCAATCATCCAATTTACATAGCTTGAACAATAACCTATGAAAGCACATGCCACCATAAATGAAGCAATCTGACAGAAAATAGGTGGGGGCTTAGAGTCTGGACTTGAGGATCAAGCATGTTCGAATTTTCATTACTGCCCTCATGGGCCAATGGGCTTCACCACCACAAGATAGTGTACGATTCCTGTGGTGTTGAATTTTGTATGGGCAGCAAGGATCAAATTTTTCCAAAATGTTTTGCGATTAGACACAAAAATTTGTTTGAGAAACCTTTTTTTTAACATAGTATTTAAAAAAATCATAGACATACTTTTGATGTTTTATCTATTAAAAAAAAAATCGAGAAGTTTTGATGTGCTATTTGTAACGTGAAATTCGTGTATTTTGGCAATATCTGTTAAAGAAAAAATAATTAAAAAAAAGCAGCATAAATGTAGAACAGTAATCTATATATCTATATAATTGCTAGCAATTATACAACTCTTTTTGTTTTCCCGCCTTTTTCTGTGACTTTTGTATTAAACTAGTTGTAACTGTTGTGTACAAATTATTCTTTTTACCGAGTATCGAATCGAAAGATTCGTTCCCCGGGTCGATCTCACGAAGAAGGCTGTTCGGAATTTAGAAATGGTATCGATCACACACAAAAGAAAATAAAATCCTAAACACTCTAATCAGATAAGGGGGATGAATAATTATCAACTAAGAAATAAATAACAATGCAAAAATGTAAATCTACCTAAGAATATGGATGAAACGAAGATGGAGAAGCTAGGTAATCGGGGATAATTAATTCAAGTTTTAGCAAGTCGGGCTATCAATTATTCAGTTCGAGATTGACACTCTCGCTTATACATCTAGCGGTTCGCTCCCAATAACTCTTCGTAACAAGGGATTGAACATAGACGAACAAGTTCGAGCACACGACACAGGCCGATTATCCCAGTTCTAATAACTTTTCGTAACAAGGGACGGGTCATCGACAAGCGCGTATTTCAACCCAAAACATATAGACTATCCAGTTACGAAATTATCTACCTCATGTGAGTCTATTTCTACGACTTCTCCCCTTTCGGTTCTGAAAGCCGCTAAGCCAATTAGAAGGTGATTAATCAACTAATCATATAGAATAGACAAACCCTAATTCGACAAATTAACATCCAACTGTCACCAATAGCAAGATCGAAATGTCACTTTTCGATTATATCAATCTATCAAATTCAAATTCATCAATTCCTCAACCAAAACAACGCACATAAGTATGAACGAATCGAAGCCCGACAAGTACAATTCAGACGAGAACAATCATCCCCTATCCCTAGCAAAGAGATTAGCTACGTAACATGAATTCAACGCAAATAATTATTCCTCTCACATCAACCATTGTTCATGAATTAACAAAGAGAGAAACAACTTACAATAATTCTCAATTCAATGTTGAATCCAAAGTACGAGCTTGAATCCTCGAACAATAATAAAAAGAAGAAGAAAATTGGAGAGGAAAGATTAAAAGAAGGAGAAGAAAGGAAGAAGAAGAAGAAGGAAGAGTGTTGTGATTTTTCTCGGGACCTAGGGTTCGTACCCCACGGTCGAGAGTTGTCCATTAATGAAATCCCGCACGCTTATTTATACGCATAGTGATAATAGCGCGAGGTAGGGTGCATCGCGGCGCGGAGGAAGGCAGTGCCGCAGCGCAGCAGGGCGCCGCGGCGCAGAGGAAGAAAAATTGTGCGTGACTGCCGTGGTGTGGAAGGTTGGCGCGGCGTGGGGGGAAGGCCTGGCGCGGCGAGAAAGGATGTCGCAGCGTGATGCGGGAGTGCTGGGAACGTCTGCCGCGGCGTGAGGGATCTTCGCGGTGTGGGGCTGGAGGGTGCCGCGGCGCGGGCCATGGCGCGGCGCGAAGGGCGTGCTGGGCTGTTCTGTCGATCTCGCGGCACCGGCGCGACGCGAAGGGAAGGCTTGTCACGGCGCGGCAGTGTGGCACGGTGCGGGGAGCTGCGCGGGCGTGGCGCTGGAGAGGACAACCTCTGTTGGTGTTGTGGCACTGCCGCGGCGCGTCGTGTGCGGGGCGCTGGGCCTGGGGCCGGTTGCTTCCGTGCACGACTTCGCGTCTCGGGCTCGTTTAGGCTCGTCTAGTATCGGAATTCGATTCCGCTTTTTCCTGTGCGTTGCCAACGAAACCTTCTATATACTTACGCTCGCATGGTCAATTTTTTCCTGAAATCCGATCCTCCCGAGACTTTCGACCTACACGCCATAAATAAAGAAAAACCAGAAAAATATACGGAAAACACGTAGAAACCCACAAAATAGCAAAACAAATAATAAACGACAAAACAAAGCAAAAACCATCTAACAGACTTAATATGAGGGAAAAAGAAAGAAAAAATAAAAAGAAACAACGCAACAAAAATAGGACAAAGAGTAACCCGTGCATTTGCACGGAGAGCTAGTCAATTAATTTTCATTTGCACGGAAAGTTATGTGATAGAAGAAAAAATACAATAAATTGTAAACTATAGAAAAAATAATAACATAATCACTTGATAAAAGCACAAGAAAATAATCTAAATATTATTAAACACTTTCTTATATACAACGTTCGTGGTTTTATTATCGTCAGAATCTCCATCAGCACAAATCAGAATCTTCAAACCCCTCCGTCTCGTTACTCTAGAAAGCGCCATGTATAATTGTGCATGACTAAATACATGGCTCTTCAATAGTAAGTCGACGTGCGACAGTGACTGGCTTTGACTCTTATTGATTGTCATAGCATAGGAAACCATGAGAGGGAACTGCCTGCGCTGAAATTTTAACGGTACCCTCAAATCAGATGGTATGATTGTGAGCCTAGGAATAAAAACCTTATCACCAGATCTGGCACCGGTTAGAATTATGCATTCTAAGATATGACTGCTGAGCTTAGTAATAACCAATCGAGTACCTGAATCAAAATTTGGACAACAAAAACAAATCACTCGAATTTGTACGTAAAAATCAAATAAAATACAGACAATATATCGAATCTTAATCAATATTACCGTTGCACAACCCCATGGAGTGAGCAATATTTCTGAGGAGCATCACTGGAGTGCCAACCTTCAAGTTCAATTTATGGTTGGGAAGTTCATAGCACTTAATCCCATTGAGAAATTCAGGAGTATGAAGATCGTGAAGATAGTCATATCCAACATCTGACTTGCAAGCGGTGTCCGAACTCAAATAAGTTCTTCCCTCGAAGGAGTTCAATGAGCTCATGTACTCATTGACGGACTCAAGAACATCAAGGGTGGGAGCGAGTATAGCTCTGTCCTTCAAGTAGCTAAGATCGTCGCCCGAACTCCTAAACATTGGGTACGTACTCTCAACAATAGAAGCGATAGGATCACCTTGTGATTTCAGAAGAATATCGTCGGGAATGTCGATGTCAGCACATCTATCGTTCGGTCAACTGGCAGTACCGTCGCCAATGCTTGCAAGCCACTCCGAGAAAAGCCTCAACTCATCGTACTCACCGCCCCCACCAAGGCTTCGAAGCCTCATGTTCTGAGTAAGTTTCAGAACGATACAATCTCGCCATAAGCTGGACGAATTGATGGTCGCATTCACTATGTCACTCCGAGTGCCTTTAGGCACAACAGGGAGAATCTGTCTGAAATTGCCACCAAATACAATAGACTTACCGCCAAAAGGGAGATTTTTCCTTGATGGGTCCACTACTTGCATTAAGGCTCGTAAGGTATTGTCAACTGCCTGAAAACAATACTTATTCATCATCGGGGCTTCGCCCCAAATGATCAACCGACATCGTATAATCAGATCAGCTAACGGATTCTACTGGCTAATGTCACATGTCGACCCTTCAGTTGGGTTTATCGGGCTTCAGAATCGTGAATGGGCAGTCCAGCCACCGAGAAGCAAAAGTGACGCGATACTGCTCGATGCAACGTTCAACACAATTTCACCCTTCGACCTCAAACCAGAAGACAACACCCTCCAAGTATATGTTTTACCGGTGCCGTCGCAACCATAAACAAAAAACATGCGTCAGTGGCTACAGTAAACCGAGTCCATTATTGAGTCATAAACATTGCGCTGCTCATCAGTCATGTTTGCAACCAATTTCTCATTCTCAATCGATAGTGCACGACGATCGTAATTCAACTCGTCTATCACAAGTTTGTTCGTGGACGCCTCATTACGATCGAGAACAAGAAACGACATTGTACCATAGTCACGTAAACTCATCCCACGTCGCCGCAAAATCTTTTCGACCTCT